CAGAACTGTTAGAGGATGATTCATTTTTTATTCCTCTTCAGTCGGCAAGGCAAAGTCAGACTTCAGAAATGGTTTGTTTCCTATCCAGACAAAGAAAAGAAAAAGATACTCCGCGATGTCATGGCAATTGTGCTGGCAAGGAAACCTAAGATGTCTTCTTTCCTTGAGTGGAAAGACATGAAGCTCGTTTATCGGCGGTAGTGAAGTTCCTCATAAATATTTATTTTTGATCAGATATGCCAGCCTCTACTTCCTGTGTGCCATAGAGCCCGAAGATAATGAACTGCTTACCCTCGAAGTAATTCACCGCTATGTAGAAATTCTGGACAAGTATTTTGGAAATGTGGGTTTGTAAATTCCTATGCATCTTTAGGTTTGCGAACTTGACATAATCTTCCACTTCGAGAAGGCATATTTTATTCTAGATGAATTTCTCTTTGCCGGTGAAGTGCAAGAATCCGGGCCTCGTAGCATAATGTCCGTCATAGATGCCCAAGATATGCTTCAGGAGGTGAGCCGAATTTCAGCGTGTAATTTTTCATTATGTAGGAGGAAGTTCCGCAAAGTTTCTTCGAAGATCAAAGCTTGAATTAGACCAAGCATTCCATGCACATATTACCACATGACATTTCGCACGCTGATTTTCCATGACATTTTCTTCCAATTGTGTGATATTAATCGAAGCAATACCTCTTACTTGTGTGATATACAAAGCCCACATAAAAGTGCAATATGTTAAATGTCATTTTGAAAGTAAGCACTGTGACTGACAGTGCTAATTTGCCCTAACAATGATAATATTTTCCTTTTTAAATTGCTAGCAAATTTCCGGGAATTAAGTTTTAGTGACGTGCTCGACTTCTTCGTTTATCATCGGCGTCAATTCTCCGTCTTGTTTTGCCCATTGTGTACTTCGCTCATGTCCATTGGACCGTAGGGATATTTGGAACAGCAATATTGCAGTTAATCATGATCAATATTCTCATGTAAACAAAATTCCCCATGGACATCAGCATGACCTTCATTAAGTGTGTGGCATTTTTTCCGCTAACGCTCAGTCTACACCTTCGAAGATGTAACTTTTAAACCATAGAAGTCTGTCTCTTAGAAAATCGTTGTTTTGTCTCTTCCGGATAAGACACAGTTCTGTGAAAAAGAACCGTCTAAATGGTCCTAGAACTTCTTATACACTGGCCCCGTGGCTTTGCACAGCTAATATATTGGAGAGAATTAGCTATTACAAAAGTTGTTCTTAACACCAGACCGAGCTGTCCGTTGACACATACGGATAAATCTTGCGCACCACCTGTATTTGAGATCTGATGC